AGCAAAAAATATATCAATATTGGCAAGGGTTATATATATTTTGGACGGGAAAGCACTACACGTTTTGTATTCTTCATTGATTTTACCATACTTAGAGTATGGCGTTGAAAACTGGGGAAATACATACATAAGCTCACTTCAACCATTGTATATATTACAAAAAAGAGCGCTAAGAATTGTGCATAAGATGGGGTATAGGGATCACACCAATGTAGCTTTCATACAGTCTAAATTGTTAAAATTTTTTGATTTAGTGGGATATAAGACTGCTGTGTTTATGTATAAAGCCAGGAACAATTTATTACCTGGTGGAATTCAAAAACTATTTAATGAAAGGGAAGGGGGATACAATTTAAGGGGTCAGTTAAATTTAAAAATTCATGTTATACGTACAACCAAAAAAGATTTTGTATTTCCATAAGTGGGGTAAAACTATGAAATAATTTAAGTGCGGAAATAAAAAATAGTAATAGAATTGATGAGTTTAAACATAAATATAAAGGTATGTGTCAATCAAGATATATGCAAGAACAGGCTCAATGATTAATTAGATGGAACATTGTGGGTGTGGTGTATGAATGTTAACACTTTGTAATAATTCTTTAGTATATTACTTGTGTGGCGTAGAAGATAATTATCTATGAATGTAATTATGTAGAATGTTAACACTCTGTAATAATTCTGTAGTATATTACTTGTGTGATGTAGAGGATAATTATTTATGTAGAGATATTGCTTAGGACTTAAAAGTTGTAAGAGTTGTAAAGTCAACGTTATTGCTTTTATTTTTTGAGGAACTGAATTAGATGTTTTTTATGGCTTTTAATATTCACACATACCGTACATTAACGATAGCTTATTTTCATGTAGGTCTTGCAGTAGAACCATAATTAGGGTTATAGGTTGTGCCTTATTCCCAATAAAAGTCAAAATGTATACTAGTAGTACTGTTTTCATGTTGTTTTGTTTTTCATGCCATGTACAGTTACTGAATCACAAACTATGACCAGAAAAAAATGTGTTGAAATAGCAGTTTTCAAAAAATGAAACAAGCTTCACAACACTAGTACTTACTTCAGGGCTTTTGTACTCGTTTGCAAGTAGACAGTCTGATTGAAAATGCTAAGGAGAAGCTCTCATGGGTAAATACAGTAAATATAGCGTATTGGGACTAGATAAGTCTAACTTCTTCTTACTCCGTTCAAGCATGTACTAGGTATAAGTAAATTGATATTGGATTATTATTGTTGGATATGTGTGAAATTACATGTGTTGACATATCAACTGTTTTACATGCTTGAATGAATAAATCTAATCAAATCAAAATCAAATCAAAGACAGTCAGGGACATCTGTGTCTATTATTCTGAACAAAACAGGGGGAGCTTTTGTTCTTTTTTACTTTTATTATCTGCCCAGGTCCTTTCTTCCCACTTCCCTCTCAGCCCCTGTAGGTTTCTCACAGCTCTTATCAGGGTCTGGGTAGCAGACATAGGCAGAGTGAGAAAGGAAGAAGATTTCAAGAGCTTGTTTTTTTTTTTTCTTTTTTGTAATTTACTGCTAATCGTAGGCAGTCACCCCTAGCTTCAAAGGAGGCTTTAGCGAGAGCTGAGGCAAAAGCCAAATTCAATGCAGTATACCTCCCTTCTAATTTTACTGCTATGTATAGCAGGGTTTTTTGTCCTTACCCGTTTACACTTTCTGCTGATATACAGCATTTGTGTGCACTTTTTCAGTTCTTCTATGAGAATCTCTAATGGCACGAGACCCTGTCACGCCTATACCAAAATACCTGTTTCTGTTGTTTATCATAATGTCAGGTATTCCAGTCCAAGGACGCCCCAGACAAGTCCACCTTACCCGAGGAGTTCATCCGCATAACAAAGGGCATCACCATAGCAACGGCCAAGGCAGTGGCTGCAGGCAACTCTGCTCAGCAGGAGGACGTGATCGCTACGGCCAACCTGAGCCGCAAAGCCATCTCCGATATGCTGACTACCTGCAAGGTGCTAATCCACACTGCTCTGCTAGAACAGGCCTCAGAAAGACAACACCAGGCTGCCAGGGAACATGTGAACCCAGAGTGCTAGATAGGACATTTGAGTCTAGTCTACTTTATGGCAACTCCTCAGTTACGTTATCAAAGTCATGGAGGAGAGCATGCAGTCAGAAGGTCCTTCAACATGAGCAGGAGCACTTGTAATAGAAGGAAGACAGCTGTGGGTTGTGCTTTTGAAAACCAGGGTATTACAAGCAAATCACCGGAGAAGAGATTTTATTCATTAGAGTATATATTTGATTTTGTGATTGACACTGGGATCCACGCTTCCATTTTCATTGCTTCCAGCAAGCGGCATACCACCCTGAAGTCAGTGAGGAGTTAAGGAGCAAGGCCCTGCAGTATGGCTCTGAGTGCACCAATGGGTACATCAACCTTCTGGAGCAAGTACTGCAGGTTAGAATTAGACAATCACATGTGTCATAAATAAGTGATCAAAGTGGCTTGTGAATGTGTGTGTGTATCTCTAGCTATGGATGGGTGCATCCTGATCTTAACTACTACCTAGTGAGGTTTCACAAGTCTTACACACAAGATTATAATGGCTGATAAATCTTTCCTGGCTTCCTGTCACTCGTGCTCTGCATTTACTGTAACATCACAAGCAACTGAAATAAGTTCTCATGAATGGCTAGTATGTAAGACTAATAACAACTTGAAATTTGCATATTTCAACACTCTGTATCCACATCATCTATATATATATA